GCAGAGATAATCTCTTCAACCAGTGGTGTTGGGACAACTGGACATCCTCATGTGAAAATAAAAAAAGAATCTAGACACAGACTTTATACCCAGCATAAAAATTAATTCAAAATGGATCATAAACATAAATGTAAAACACAAAACTATAAAACTCCCAGAAGATTACATAGAAAACCTTGGTGACCTTGCGTATGTGATGCATTGTTAGATACAGCACCAAAGACACATTCCATGAAATAAACAGTTGAGATGCTCAGTTTATTTCAGTCACTCAGTCATGTCCAACTCTTTGCGACCTCATGGACTGCAGCACTCCAGGCCTCCCTGTCCATCGCCAACTCCTGGAGTTTATCAAACTCGTGTCCATTGAGTCAGTGATGCCATCCAATCATCTCATCCTCTGACCCCTTCTCCTCCTGCCTTCAATCTTTTCCAGCATCAGGGTCTTTTCCAATGAGTCAGTTCTTCGCATTAGGGGGACAAAGTATTGGAGTTTCAGCTTCAGCATCAGTCCTTCCAATGAATATTCAGGACTGATTTCCTTTAGGATCAACTGGTTGGATCTCCTTGCAGTCCAAGGGACTCTCAAGAGTCTCCTCCAACACCACAGTTCAAAAGCATCAATTCTTCAGCACTTAGCTTTCTTTATAGTCCAACTCTCACATCCATACACGAGTACTGGAAAAATCATAGCCTTGACTAGACAGACTTTTGTTGGCAAAGTAATGTCTCTGCTTTTTAATATGCTATCTAGGTTGGTCATAATTTTGGTCAACTTTAGTTGACATGCTAAACTTCATTAAAATGAAGCACTTGGTTCTGTGAAAGACAACATCCAGAGAGCTAGAAAAACCACCCACTGGTATAAAGTATCTGCAAAAGACATATCTGATCAAGGACTGTTACCTAAAATATACCAAAAACTTTTAAAACTCGACAGAAAACAAACAACTGAATCAAATTTGGGCCAAAGACCTGAACAGACACCTTACCAAGGGAGAGATACAGATGGCCAATAGGCACGTGAAAATATCCTCCCATCATATGTCATCAGACAAATGGAAATTAAAACAAGATGCCACCTATCAGAATGGCCAAAATCCAGAGTCCAGACACCACCCAGTGCTGAACTTGCAGTCACTGCTGGTGGGAATGAAAAATGGTCCAGCCGCTTTGGAAGACAGTTTGGCAGTTTCTTACAAAGCTAATCATAGTCTTTACCATATAGCCTAGCAATCACATTCTTTGGTATTTACTCAAAGGAGCTGAAAATGTATAGTCTGCACAAAAACCTACAACGAATGTTTAGAGCAGCTTTATTCCTAATTGCCAAGACTTGGAAGCAACCAAGATGTCTTGCAATAACTGGATGGTTACATAAATTGTGCTATATCCAGACAATAGAATATTATTAGGCATTAAAAATAAATGAGCTATCAAGCCATGAAAAGACATAGAGCATCCATAAATGCATGTGCATGCTAAGTCACTTCAGTTGTGTCTGACTCTGTGCGACCCCATGGACTGTAACCCACCAGGCTCTTGTGTCCATGGGATTCTCCAGGCAAGAACACTGGAGTAGGTTGTCATGCCCTCTTCCAGGGGATGCTCCTGACCCAGGGACGGAACCCGCATCTCTTATGTCTTTTGCATTGACAGACAGGTTCTTTACCACTAGCGCCCCCTGGGAAGCCCCCTTAAATGCATACTGTGTACTAAGCAAAAGAAGCCAATCTGAAAAGACTCCATACTGCATGATTCCCACTATATGACATTCTGGAAAAGTCAAAACTACGAAAACATAAAAACATCAGCAGTTGCCGTGGGGGGGGAGAGGGGAGGGAGATAAACAAGCTGAGCACAGAGGCTTTTGAGGGCAAAAGTACTCTGTATGATAATAGAATGATGGATACATGTCGTGGTATATTCAAAACCACAGAATGGACAGTACCAAGCGTGAACTCAGAGGGTAAACGCTGGTGGTTATGATGAATCATAGGTTCAATCATAGGTTCATCCTTGGTAACAAATGTAGCATCTGGTGGGGGATGTTGATGGTGGGGGCAGTTGATGACATGGGAGGCTGTGTATGGGTGGGGGCAGGGAGTACACGAGAACTCTGTCAGTTCAGTTCAGTTCGGTCGCTCAGTCATGTCTGACTCTTTGCATCCCCACGAACTGCAGCACGCCAGGCCTCCCTGTCCATCACCAACTCCCGGAGCGTACTCAAACTCGTGTCCATTGAGTCGGTGATGCCATCCAACCATCTCATCCTCTGTTGTCCCCTTCTCCTCCTGCCCCTAATCCCCGCCAGCATCAGGGTCTTTTCCAGTGAGTCAACTCTTCACATGAGGTGGCCAAAGTATTGGAGTTTCAGCTTAAGCATCAGTCCTTCCAATGAACATCCAGGACTGATCTCCTTTTGGATGGACTGGTTGGACCTCCTTGCAATCCAGGGACTCTCAGGAGTCTTCTCCAACACCACAGTTCAAAAGCTGAACTCTCTGTACCTTCTCTCAGTTTTGTAGTAAACCTAAACTTGTTGGAAAAAAATGTCTTTAAAAAAGTAAGATAAACAGAGTGAATAGAAAAAGTAGTATTATACTTATGAGCTTCTGTCTCAAATTAAAATTTTTGAACCTCTAGTAATATCTGCCTTTTCTTTTCCCACAATTTCACTCATATGTTGTTCATCAATCTCAACTCTTAACTCGGGGGTTTTGGCTCCCTGTTCGATCAAGTGTTTCATTGAACTTAGCCAAAGTCAGACTTGGAGCAGCCTGGGAATAGTTCAGAGGCTCTCCTTCATCCCAGTACACGGAGCATCTCTGGATGGTTTTGGTTTTGCTTGTAAGCTTTTAGGGCAGGGAGGAGCTGTCCTGCCTCTCCTGATGGTGGTTAGGTTTACAGCATTGTCTCCTTAGCCGACGCAGGAGCTGTGGTTCGGCCATGGCTCGGAAGTGTAACCTCATAAATGTCCCATCACTGGAATCCAGTCTATTTCAGCATCCACAGGCCTAATTTCTTCTTGTAATCTGATTACGGGGTCTGAGCTCTTCCAGCCTGCAGTGTCTCGCTTTGCGTTTACTCTACTCTCAAGGACACCAGTGCCTGACTGCCTTGCGCTGTGAAAATCTCAACCCAGTTTTGCTCAGACAGACTGCAGGCCGTGGCTGCTTGAGAATTAGCTGTAGAGCAGGCTCTGTCCCTGAACTTGATGTGTGCAGCCATGTTCGGAAGCCCAGGGATTCCCAGCTACCTGGGCACTTTCAAGTTCTCTGAGGAACAAGGTAAGGCGGGAGAAATGGAAAATGCCCTCAAGTGTCTTTTTAATAGCATCATGAATGCCTTGCATCTTCCATTTTACCTTGGATGCCCCGTTATACTGTTCTGTGGTTTTCTCAAAGGATGCTTTAAATATCTCATTGACTTTATAAATTAGCTTATCTTGGGATCGCTGAGAAAGGTGGCTTTTTTTTTCTGTTGTACGTTAAAGAAGTTGCTAAACCACTAAAGCCTTTTTGAAGGAAACATTGCAGATTACATTGGAATGCTCAAAGTTTGGATTAAGTTCTGGATGTGCTGTACTTTAACTGAAATATTTTTCTTAACCAAATGTTATATCTACTAAATTTTTTCCAGTAGGCAGTGGTGTGTGTTTGCCTTTTTATGAAATCTTCATGGGAGGCTGTTTGGAACAAAAATTTGTCTTCTTAGTGGCTTCCTTTTGAGCCCAGAGGAAAAGAAGCGCTTTCAATTTAACCACTGAAGTGGCATCTCAGATTAGGTTCACAGATTGAACTAAAAAGAAATCTTTAGGTTATCTTGAATATCACATTGGAAATTTGGCCATTGTCTATGAAAGTATTTTCCAGTCCAAATGTACGATTGGGAAGCGATTTGAACAACTAAGGTGTCAGATTCAGGAATTTGCTTCTGCAATATTTGATAGCTTTTTGAACCAAGTTCTCTTTTTCTAAGCACATAACAAGGATATTTGTGTAATTAGCCAAAAAGCGTAGATGTTTAATTGGCATTATACCTTTGTATTGTATTCCTCTAGTTGGTCCGAATTCCCAAATTCCAGAATTCGGAATGTATTTGATAGGTAATGACATGTCAGCATCTGGTATATCTTGTACCTCCTTTTCCTCAAGCTTCTGCCCCTAAATATTAAGCAGTAAGAGGTTCTTCCATAAGGGAAGAAATTTCTGTAAGTGGTCTAATTGTGGTTTTCTGGGTGGACAAATGGTTGCTATGCCAAAAGCTGTAAAACAGATTACTTACCCAAAGCCAGTTATAAATTTGCCTGTGCCTGGTTTTCATTAACCAGTTCAGTCGGATGTGTGTTTTTGGTGGATGCAATTGTTACCAGCTGTCTTTATGTAATATATGTCTTGTCTTCAAAAATAAATAAGTGGCAAATTTGATGTGTCATTATCATTTAGATTTTAATGAAGGCAATAAAAACACAGCTGAAGTGTCCCCTCCACTGTTCATCAACCCCTCATGCACCCCAGCTCCTGCTGTGCCTTCTTTAAAAGCATCAAATATACCAGGCAGGGATGATTTTAGACCTTTCCGATTACCTGGACCAAAATTGTTTAATTTTTTTCTCTTTTTTTGCCCGTGAGGATAATAGCTATGTTTTTCAGTATTTAATTGCTTTGGAGTTATTCTTGTAACCATAGAGAACTTAAATGGTAGCATTGAACTATGTCAGAATTTTTTTTAACCCATGAAGTATCTTGGCTACTATTAATCAAAATCAAAACAAAACAATTCCTAAGTAAAATGCATGTGGTGGGGTTTGATGCTTAAAGGTGTCTGTATTTTCTGTATTCATATTTCTGGTTCACAGTTGCCTTTTTCTTAAATGATCTCAAAGGGAGCGTGAAGAATTCCCTCCCCCCCCCCCCCCATTGGGGGGGTTTTTTTTTTTTTTTGGTTTTAAGTTACTGTGTGGGTATTTCATGCTTACATTATTTCTTTCCCCTTAGATTTGAACAAGAAAAACTTAAGCCTCGTTGGATTCCCGTGTCAAAGAAAAGCTCCAAGGTAAAGAAGTCTTTGCTCAAGAAATCTTAAGTTTCGAAGATTTGTAGGAGATTTAGAAATTATTCTCCTAAATTTCTAATCCTTGAGTTTTAAATGTTTTAAAACAATATTTTCTCTCCAGAGTTTAACTTATTAAAACATGTGAAGCAGGCTGACTTAGCAGTGCATTCAGCCAGCAAAGATTCTTTTTGTATTGGTACTAGTAGTAAAGAATCCGCCTGCCAATGAAGGAAACACAAGAGGTGTGGGTTCAATCCCTGGGTCAGTAAGATCCCCTGAAGTGGGAAATGGCAACCCACTCCAGTATTCTTGCCTGGAGAATTCCATGGACAGAGGAGCCTGGTAGACTACAGTCCATAGGGCTGCAAAGAGCCAGACTGAACATACACATGGGAACTATTTGCAAAATGGCCTGTTGGTGTCCCTGTAATTGCAAAATTGTAAAGGTCTTTTCTTTGCAAGTTCTTTTCTTTCTTATATCTGCCTCTAAGGATATGATACCCTTTTTTTCAACTTACCCTTTGAGTAAGGGAGCTTTTGGCTTGCTGATGTTTTTTGTTTTTTTTTTTTTAATTGAAGTGTAGTTAATTTACAGTGTTGTACCAATCTCTGTTGTACAGCACAGTGAATCAGTTATCCACATGTATGCTTTTGGTTTTTTAAGAAAGGATCTAGTCTTGTTCTTCCTCCTTCTGTCCCTTCCTTCTGACCCGTTCTTCTCCCCTTACTTCTCTCCCTCCACCCACCCACCCACTCACCTGTCCAGGTAAGTTCATGGTGCCTGGCCTCTTAACCGTTCTGCCCTTCTGTTCCATTGGCTGCAGGATATTATGGGTACCTATTTGATGTACCTGATATGCTAAAACTCCGTGGTACACACATCATTGAGGTGAGATAATAGAAAAATTAAACTTTGTGCCTAATAAGGTGGCTATTTTTCAGATGTGTCCTCATAGATGGCTGTCCCTAACAGGTTTTGAGATTTTCAAGTGTAGACACAAAATGATGGTCCCTTAACACACACGAGACATGGATTTCAGCATCCACTTTATTATGCGGGAAGGCCCCAACCCAGATCTACCCTTCATTCCACTTAGATGCTTTTGTTCCTAATGTATGACATAAGACATTGTTTCTTTACTTTAAAAGTTTGCATTTCAAAGCTTAACCTTTGACACAAAGCTTATTTTGTGTTGTGTGTCACCAGTGTCCTAGCCAAGCTAAGCCTGGCTCTGCGTTTGAGAATGTTAGATTTGACCTTGTGAACACGCTGGATGGGGTAAACTTTGATGAATCTCATCCACATCTTATTAATAGTATAAGGTAAACTAGAGCAGTGAGGAGGCATGGTCATCAGTAAGGCTGTCTTATTTAACTCGTGAAATCTTACTTATCTAGTAGTTGATACAATCTCCCTTATTTCTCATCTTTGCCTTCTTTTTAATAGAAGCTAAGGCTTCTGTCTTAATTTGTTCACTCTCATAGACTGAGTGGCTTATAAAACATAGAAATTTATTTCTCACACCTGGAGGCTGGAAGTCTGAGGTCAGGGTGCACTGCCATGGGGTGACAACCCTCCTCCAGGTTTCCCACTGCCCTATGTCTTGCATCCTCTCTTGGAGTGAGCACCGATCTCATTCATGAGGGCTCCACTCTCATGACCTAATCACTTCCTAGAAGCCCGTCCTCCTAATATCTTCACCCTTGTGGTGTTGGAGAAGACTCTTGAGAGTCCCTGGACTGCAAGGAGATCCAACCAGTCCATCCTAAAGGAGATCAGTCCTGAGTGTTCATTGGAAGGACTGATGCTAAAGCTGAAACTCCAGTACTTTGGCCACCTCATGCGAAGAGTTGACTTATTGGAAAAGACTGATGCTGGGAGGGATTGTGGGCAGGAGGAGAAGGGGACGACAGAGAGGATGAGATGGCTGGATGGCATCACCGACTCAATGGGCATGAGTTTGAGTAAACTCCGGGAGATGGTAATGGACAGGGAGGCCTGGCGTGCTGTGATTCATGGGGTCGCAAAGAGTCGAACTCGACTGAGCGACTGAACTGAACTGAACTGGGTGGGGGTCAGGATTTCAGTCTATGAATTCTGGGAAATACATTCAGATCATAGCAACTTTGTTGCAAATACATCACTAGCAGGTTGGTTTAGCTGTTGTAGACTTAATATGTGACTCAGAGCAGGGGGAAGAAAAGAAAGAGGAGACAGAAAAGCGCTGCTTTTTCAAGGGAAAGTATGATGTATGAACGGAGGTCAGTCAGTTCAGGGAGAGCGACTCAGAGGGACACAGTGGTTCTGAAACTGGTGTTATTTCATGTGCACCTATTAAAACAATGGCCCCCGGGCTCTGGTCCTAAATGTAAAATGGACTGGAAATATAAGAACCTGCCTCCTTCAAATAAATCTAGTTACCCAGACACCAGACATGGGAACATGAGGTAATGGATTACATCTCCCTTGTCTTTTTTTTTTTTTTTTTTTTTGGCCTTGTGGGACCTTAGTTCCCTGATCAGGGATCAAACCCATGTCCTCTGCATTGGGAGCATGGAGTCTTAACCACTGGACCAGCAGGGATGCTCCCTCCCCTGTCTTGTAACTAAACTCCAGTAGAAGAGTTAGTAGTCAGGAAGCCCTTCACTGTGTGGAACAGAATATTCCTTATTAGGACATCCCATTTTTTAAAAAAGATAGAAGGTAATAACAGCAGGATAGCCTGCTCTCACTTTAATAAAATGTCCTTTTATTGTCTTGCTGGGCATTTAAGTAGGTTAATGGGACATGTTAAAAAAATTATCATGGAAGCAAAGTGCAGTCTTTTCTTGGATCACTGAAGCAGAGGAAAGAGCTAGAAGTATGAACAAATTCGTCATGAAGAAGGGAGCTCCGTTTCAGAGGAGATGAAAAACATATTAAAGTTGTTTCTTCATGTTGTTGTTGTTGTTGTTGAATTGCTAAGTCATGTCCAACTCTTTGTGACCCGTTGGACTATAGCCCTCCAGGCTCCTCTATCCATGGAATTCTCCCGGCAAGAATACTGGAGTGGGATGCCACTTCTCCAGGGGATCTTCCCCACCCAGGGATCGAACCCATGTCTCCTGTATTGACAAGCAGATTCTTTACCACTAAGCCACCAGGAAAGCCCCATTTATTCATGTTAGAAGCTTTTAAAATTTTAATTCCCCAAAATGAAGACTGTAGCATATATACTTTAGTTATATATGGAAAGACAGTTTCATGGTGAAATAGAGGATCCCACCTTTTACTAGAGCTGTGGCAACCCACCAAGGCCCAGAGAAGTGGTCTGGGCAGAGACCCCCTGATCCCCGTGTAGGTGATAATGAGGAGGGACATAGTCCAGTATCCAGGGCTTGGGTCCCCCCCATCCCATGATGCTGCTCTGGGTGCCTCTGATTCAGAGAATGAGAAGAGAGTGACACTAGGGCTTTGGGGGAGGACGTTTTTAAGTGTTTCACCGGCCGTTAGATGAGCATATGAGTTACTCGTTCATGAATGGTCCAGAACGCTTCAGCAGTGTGTCCTGCCTGCATTTTCACTGCTGACTGGTGCCCCCAGGTGTCAGAAGTCCAGGATAGAGACATGGCTCTTCTCAAAGTCTGGTTTCATATTGATTTGGGGAAACTTGCATCCGTCACAGCTCTTGTGACAATTGTAAGTCAGAGTCTTTGGTTCCAGCCCATCTTCCTTATTCTTCCTATGGCTCATCTACTTCCTCATTGGTTAGTAGTCATTTGTTACTAGTCATCATTGGTTAGTAGTCATTGGTTACTAGACATTGTTGGTTAGTAGTCATCTTTGGTTAGTAGTCATTGGTTAGCAGTCAGAGGTTAGTAGTTACTTGGAGGAAATAGGAGAGAGAGATTTTAACAGCAAGAAAGAAGTATAAAGGTGGCTGTGTGGATTCCAGTAAGAAAATTTTACCTTGAGGATGGAGACCTGAAAAATAGACTGCTTTATAAACATGCAAACATACATGTATTTTCATACATATAGGCAAGGTGGGCAAAGGTAATGAGGAGTGATGTTTTCCCAATTATATGTTATTTTAAAGAGAAGAGAAGGAGAGGAAGGAAGGGAGGAAGGGATGATGTTATTAAATACATGCTCTTCTAATGAGTCTCCGTATTTGTCATGTTCTTTGCCCCATCATATCCACAGTGTGTAACGTGTATACATAAAATACTCCATGCGACCTCCCTGGTGGTCTGGTGGTTTAGACGTCACCTTCGAGTACAGGGGCTGTACTGGTTCAATCCCTGGTTGGGTAGCTAAGATCCCACATGCTGTGGGGTCAAAAAAAAACAAAACAAAACATAAAACAGAAGCAGTGTTGTGAAGCCTTTAAAAATGGTCCACATCAAAAAAGTAAAATCTTTAAAAAAATACTTCAGAGTAGTCTTTGTAAATATTTGAAATATTTTATTGGAGCCAATTCATTCACTGTATGTTTATTGATTTTTAAAAGTATTTTTTAAAATCAACAAGTTAAAATGAGACACTTATATGTTCCATGAATAGGAAAACAGGGTCACGTGAGAGAATATAACAGAGGTGCGTAGTGTACATTCAGTGCTGGTAGGTGGACACGGGGTCACAGGGTTCTTCCTTAAGGAAATGACCTTAAACTGAGGCCCAGACCAGGAGCAAGACTAGCCAGGATGGAAGGAAGCTGCAGAAAGAGACTTGAGGAGGAAACAGCATTCACAGTCAGCCATGGGAAGAGGCAGGAGAGATTTCCCTAATGTGCTATGGTTTTCATGGTTTCTGACCACCCGTGAGAGGCTTTCCTGCCCATCAGTGCAGACACATCTGTAGTTTGTTTCAAGAAAGGAAATGCATGTGAAGCCAGGGGTGTAGGGTGATGGATTGTGAACCCCACTCTGTGCAAGTTCAATGAAATGTTTAACAAAAGGGTAGTTTTTTAGTCTTCCTTAGCAGCTTCTTTGAGCTTTTTGATGAGCAGATAAAAGGGGGAAAATAGAAACGGAGATGTTCAGTTTTGAAAATATGAGATAATATTTGTGCTCTAAGGTCAATGGTCTAGGAGCTGAATACTTCAGGGTTTGCACAGAATTTTCTTCTTGAGGTTTTTGTTTCCCAAAGAAAGTACAGAACTTGCTGGAATGTTTCAAGTGGTTAAACAGTCAATTAAAATATTGATAGCATGTCACTCCTTACGTAGGGTGCCATTCCGCTGTTGTTTAATGTTTTAGGTTTAGACTACATCATACCTCTGAAAAAACACTGAGATCTGTCATTGTGTTATGATTCACTATTGAGAAGTCAGTGCTTATTCCAAGTTTTTGACCTAAGCAGGAGGTGTCTTAGGATTTTCAAGCTACCTGGAGTGTGGTTTTCAAAGCCTACTTATTCTCAAGACTTTTTATTAACTGATATGACTATATGGCACTGCTGTTTACTAGTATAAGCATTCCACATTTATAAGCAGAAACTAAGGGTTTCTGATGAGCTTGGTTCTAGGAAGATGGGATGGCAATATTTTGGAGTATACAGATGATCCTTGAAATTTAATTTGTATCTGGGATATAAGTGATTGGTGCGCCCCCTTCATAGCACCCACAGCACTTCCTCAGTCTCCCAGGCCTCTGTGGACACACCTCTGCAGGGCAGAGCCACAGACAGGGGACCATCCTTGGGAAAGGTCAGGTTGGCGCTGGGTTTGTTTACGAGTCTATCACCACTTCTCTAGAGGTGATCATATTGTTGGGGAAGATGAGTTTCCTGTTTCCCTAGGTTTGTTCTCTTCCTTTGAGGCAGCAGCTCTGGTCTTGCCCACTCCAGTTGCATTCCCCTGGAGGCCTTGAACTTATGGGCTCCAAGTCTTGGGCCGGGTGCTCACAGTATCAGAGCAAAAGCTAGATTTGCACGTTGCGTACTGTTCTTGCTGCACGTGTGTCCTGGGGCAAAGCGCTGGACAGTTTCCTGATCTGTACGCCGAAGACAGCAGTGGTCCCAGGGGTGTGTTTGCGCACACACACCCCCCCTGGTGAGTGTGCCCATGTGTCCTCCTTCCAACGTAGAGATCACTGAGTCCCGTGGGAGCTTGAGGAGCAGCAGTGGGGGCAGTATTTACACCGCCAGCAGGCACTGAGAAACGGGTGCTTTGGGAGGCTGGGAGGGGTGGGCAGGGCAAGGAGCTGGTTGGTAAGCCTGTACCAACACAGCGCACAGGATCTTAATTCCCCAACCAGGGATTGAACCTTCACCCCATTTGCATTGCAAAGGCAGAGTTTTAACCACGGGACCACCAGAGAAGTCCCATTTCTTTTTTTTTTTCTCCTGGACAAATTTTCATGAACCTTTCACACCTCTGCTCCATGCTTTGATTTTTCTTGGATTGAAGACGTTTGTTACTTTAATTTCAACAGCGCAAGAGAGCGTGTAGATCACCTAGACAGGTCACTGATTTTCTGAGGAAGACTGTAGCACAGGGAGGTTGAGTGATTAGTTCAAGTTTGCACAGCTACTGGTGGCCCATGAAGAGGTTGTCAGTCTCAACAGAGGCATCCATCTCCTAGTGCAGTGATGTTTTTACCACCAGAGGCCACACATACCCTCACATCCCTCCCACCCCCTGCCACCTATGCTGATGTAATTATTTAGCTGCACCCAAAAATCATATTAATATAACCATGAATCGTTGAAAAAAGCTACCTATTAACTCCCCCAAATAAAATATTTTACTTATAATCTATACACACATGTTTAGCTATGTACAACATAACATAATTTTTATGTTCTGTGATATCTCAGTTCATATCAGATACCTGGGTTTAGAAGAACTTTAAACATTTTCTTAATGGAATCATTTTTAGCTTTCAGAAAGAGTTCTTGCTTGAAGACAAAGAACAGCTTGCTAACCACAAAAGAGGGATCGATGCTCAGCTTTTAGCTGCCCTTCCTAAAGGTAAGACTTCTAGATGGTCGACTAGTATCTGGGGCGTGTAAATGTATTATATGATTTTCCTGGAGGACTCTTTCCCTAACCTCCAGCTCAGTTCTCTTCTGTGCCCCTTTCTGCCTCATCAAGAAAGCAGCCTTAATTAAATAACCTCTTTTGTCACTTTTTATTTTTTAATTATTCTTTATTGGTGTATTGTTGTTCTACAGTGTTACGTTAGTTTCTACTGTATAGCAGAGTGAATCAGTGATACACAGATCCACTCTGTTTTGGATTTCCTTCCCATTTAAGTCATCACAGAGCCCTGACTAGAGTTCCTTGTGCTATATGGTAGGTTCTTATTAGTTAGGAAATCAGTCCCGGGTGTTCATTGGAAGGACTGGTGCTGAAACTGAAACTCCATTACTTTGGCCACCTGATGCAAAGAACTGACTCATTGGAAAAGACCCTGATGCTGGGAAGGATTGAAGGCAGGAGGAGAAGGGGATGACAGAGGATGAGATGGTTGGATGGCATCACCGACTCAATAGGCATGAGTTTGAGTAAACTCTGGGAGTTGGTGATGGACGGAGAGGCCTGGCATGCTGTGGTCCATGGGGTCACAGAGTCGGACACGACTGAGCGACTGAACTGACTGAACTGAGTATATATGTCAGTCCCAATCTCCCAGTTGATCCCACTCCACCTTTGCGCCCGTGGTATCCATATACTTGTTCTCGATGCCTGTGTCACTATTTCTACTTTGCAGGGACGATCATCCATATGATTTTTTCTAGATTTTACATATATGTATTAATATACAATATTTGTTTTCCTTTTTGACTTCACTCTGTCTCTAGGTCCATCCACATCCCTACAAATGATCCCATTTCATTCCTTTTTATGACTGAGTGATATTCCATAGTATGTAAGTACCACATCTTTATCCATTCCTCTGTTGATGGACTTCACCTTACCACAAGTCCCTTCCTTTCATTTTAGGCATCCTCAAGTTTTTGCTGGAGGCTGGTACCGAGGATAAGAGAGCAGTCCTAGAATCAGCCTCACCTCATCTCTCTCCTACTTTTCACCTTCTCCAAGGGTGATGAGTTTTGCTTACTTGCCCGTTTCTTTTCTGTCCACCCCCTCCCACTGCTTCCAGCCCCCTGAGGCTTTCCAGTGCTAGGATGGATATCTTTCAGCTCCTGACTGGGCAACACACTGAGCAAGCGGTGCAAAGTGCATCTTAAACGTCTCTCTTCTTATCCAAGTAGACACTCACATCTGGTGAATTCACACTTTCCTTGGTTAAGATGTACATGCAGTCAAATATTTGCATCAGCTACCAGCCCTCTACCCCTAGTATTGCCCATGAGATAATATGAGCATTACCTGACATTTGTTTCTACCAACTGTAACACGAACTCAGGGGAGTACCAACTCACAAACTGTTCATCCCAAATGAGCTGTGTAACCCTTGCTTCAGAAGAAACAGCTTTTCCAGCAATCCCACTCCTTGCATATACACAGAAAAGATATAGTTCTCTAATTTGAAAAGATACATGGCACACCAACATTCAAAGTTGCACTGTTTACAACAGCCAAGACATGGAAGCAGTCTAAATGTCCATCAGCAGAGGAATAGATTAAAAAAATAATGCGGTGTATATATATTCAGTGGCATACTACTCAGCTATATAAAAGAATGAAATAATGCCAATTGCAGCAACATGGATGGGACCTCGAGACTATCATACTAAGTGAAATAAGTCAGAGAAAGACAAACGCCATATATAACTCACACATGGAATCTGAAAAAAATGACACAAATGAACTTACTTACAAAATGGAAACAGACTCACAGACCTAGAAAACAAACTTATGGTAATCAGAGGGAAAGCTGGGGAGGGATGAATTAGGAGTTGGGGATTAATTAATAATTATAATTAACCCTATTAATTATAAAATCTTATACCGTATGTAAAAGTGACAAACAACAAGGACCTACTGTTTAGCACAGAAAACTATATTCAATATCTCATAATAACCTATAATGGAAAAGAATCTGAGAATGTATATATATATATATGTATGTGTGTGTATATATATATATATATACACACACATAAATAAAACTGAATCATTTTGCTACACTCCTGAAATATTAGAAATCAACTATATTTCAATAAAAAATAAATTAAAAAAAGAAACAGTTCTGGTGGAAGATCAGGGGTTTTTTTCTGTCCTGAAAAAAAAAACAAAAATAGTGGCAATAAATCATGAGATCAAGCACAGACGAAATTAGACCAGAAAAAATATACTCTTAACAGAAACAAAATCAATTTTAAAAGTCCCACTGATGAATTTGCGTGCATCCTGAGGAACTGAACCAGTCGTGCTCCTGGACACAGGCTGATGAGGATGGATGCTTGAAGGAGGACACCAGGGGTTGGTCTGGTGGTGACATCTTCAAGAAGGGACATTTTTCAATTTTTAAGTGTTTAACAAAAGTGTCAACTGAAACAGAGTGTTTTTGTGTTTTGCTCCAGAGATCCAAAATAAGAAGAATGTGTAGAATTATAAGGAGGCAAGTGAGATTTCATATGAGGAAGAAAATTCTGATAGTTCATGTACGTGGAAGTGAAAGACACTGCATTGTAATCTCATTAACTGTTCAAGTCAAGGGTAGGACAGTTATGTGGGGGGTTCCCACCTGGAACCCCAGATGTGAAATGGAAAAGTCCTTCCAATTTGTAAGACTCTTTCGGAAGACAAACTCAGTTTAATCTGAGTGAAACTGAAAGTGTTAGTCGCTCAGTCGTGGCCAACTCTTTGCAACCCCATGAACTATATAGCTCGTCAGGCTCCTCTGTCCATGGGATTCTCCAGGCAAGAGCACTGGAGTTGGGTAGTAGCTATTCCCTTCTCCAGGAGATCTTCCTGACCCAGGGATCAAACCCAAGTCTTTTGCATTGCATGCTGACTCTTTATCATCTGAGCCACCAAGGAAGCCCAAGTCAAATGTAAAAATCTATGAAGGTGATCAAAACAAAGAGCAAGAATGAACAAACTGATATTAGCAACAGCTTAGATTTGACTGATTATGGAAAGTTACATAAAGCTAAAGTTCTCTTCCTCTCTGTCCCCCCATTCCTTCTCTTAATGAATAACAAATAATAATAATATCAGAAAAATTAAGAACCATGTGAGATGCTGGATTCCTCAAAGCTCAATGACTCAGAGCTCTACGTATAACAATTTAAAAATGTATAGCTTATTAACCAGTTTTATTAGACATTATCATAATTGGTCATTAAAAATCATTATTTTCACTAATCAAAGATGATTAACTATGTACTCACCAGATTTATGTTTCTAAACTAACAAGGTTTTTCAAACATGCTTCTTAAGCATTAGGGTCCCTCCTCCCCTGAATTTCATCTTAATTCCCATAGATTTATTTCATAGTCTTTACTCTTTATGAATTTGGGCAGGCACATTTGGAAAGACCTGAGGTATTGCCTAAGGTCTTTTTATTTCTCCACCTTAACAGATGTATTCAGTATTTTGTCAGTTCTTGGTAATAGCAGGTTAAAAATAGGAATCGATTATGAGTTTGAATGTCATGGAGTTTCATGTTTGTTTATAAGTTTATAGAAGCTTCTTCCTGTTCATTTAGTGATGGGATTTTTGCTTCTGTGAGATTGAGCTTTTAAACAGTCATTGATTTTTCTCTAAGGGACTTCTTTTACCCATGTATCATGAACAGGTAATCAAGGGATTAAAACCCTTTACCAGTGTAAAGCTTACTCTATTAAAATAGATTTTCCATTTAGGAGTTATGAAATGAACAAAATATATGATTCTACTTTTTTTAACAGCTTCATCGAGATACAATTCCTATACCATACAATTATCCATTTTAGGTAGACAGTTCGGTGGCTTTTGGTAGCTTCACAGAGTCGTGCATTGATCAGCAGAGTCAATTTTAGAACATTTTCATTATCCCCCCCAGAAACCCTTCTGATAGCCATCACACCTCCCCCTCTTTCCTCTAGGTTTGTAATGATTTTATTTTATAAGCTGCTGGTCTTTGTATTAGTGGCTGCCATCCAAGTGTAAAAGTTAAAGTGGATTACTCCTGGGGAAGAAAGATCAGCATTCAGAATATTCTGGACCTGGCCTGTGGTATCAAATGCAGGCGGTGGGGGAGAGCTGTTCTTGGCAGTCCCACCACTACTTAGGTTTCTTTGGAAGATTCTACTGTATTCAGACTTGGGGGACTGAAATCAACAATAACTTTACCAGAAAGCCTGTTCTCAGAGCTAATTGAAGAAACCATGCTTCCCTTAAAAGCACCTAGCAGACCATGTTATCCTGTGTATTGCTATTATACATTATTACAAAGTATATGAGGCAATTAAATAGTTTTATAAAGTATTATAGCCCCTGATGTCAAAGCCTCTTAAATTGCCTTACTTGGAAAATGACCAATGCAAGTCCCGTCAGAAGTTGCTGAAGAAATAGAGTCATAAAATCCATATTTCTTAGACAAGGGCAGCAGACTAAAATCACAGGGATTTTAGCAAGGGATAATTTAGTGTACGTACAAGTCTCAGTGCACTTGAAAATTTATTGCAACAGAAGTTAGACCAGCTGTGCTTGTTTCTATCTGAATTTATGATGACGAATATTGCTATTTTCTGAACCATGTATTAGTTATATACATATGACACAGCATACCATCAATTGAATTATGGCTTGTGAGTCTAATTTTTCAAAATTCCCTGTTTTTAGGAAAGAGACACTGAAGGATTTAGAGTTAACAGGAGCATTAGGCTGCAACTTACTCTTAAATGGTTCAGAAAAATTCATATGTGAATATGAGAATGTGTGTGCATTCGTGCTCACAGTGCTCAGTTGAGTCCAGCTCTTTGCAACCCCCTGGACTCTAGTCCACCAGGCTCCTCTGTCCAAGTGATTCTCCAGGCAAGAACACTGGAGTGGGTTGCCATTCCCTTCTCCAGGGGATCTTCCCAACCCAGGGTTCAAACTCATCTCCTGCTGTGGCAGGCAGGTTCTTTACCACTAGTACCACCTGGGAAACCCTATATCCATGTGTATATACACGTAAATATATGCATATTTTCATGTATATTTACATGCAAATATACATATGGAGATAGAAAAGGGGACTAAAAATAAGTATAGTAACAAATGTTTACTAATGAAAAATGTCTTATTTTTTCTCTGAGACTGAAATTATATAAAAATTTTAAAGGAAGGAAACCTTTTGGGAGATCATAAATAATAATAAACTATGTTCAGGGCTGGCAGTCAGAAGATGGAGCAGTGATGGAGCAGTCTGTGGACGCTACAAAAGACATGAAGTGACCACGTGTTTCCACAGTATGGGCGACTTCCATGCTTTCTTAGTACTAGCTTTTTATTTTTCCAATGCTTTAGAATATACCTGACCAAAATTCAGCGGGGGTGGGGGGTACTACAAGTGCCCATCTGAAGTTTTTGTCCTTTGGAATTGCATTAGCAATTCAAATAAAACATCATTCAATACAACTAGAGATTATCATACTAAGTGAAATAAGTCAGAAAGAGAAAGACAAATACCATATGATACAACTTGTACGTGGAATCTTAAACATGGCACAGATGAGCTAACCTACAAAACAGAAACAGATTCAGGAACATAGAAAGCAGACTTCTGGTTGCCACGGGGGAGGAGGTGTAGGGGAGGGAAGGACTGGACTTTGGGGACTAGCAGATGCAAACTGTCATACACAGGATGGATAAACAAGGTCCTACTGTGTAGCACAGGGAACTGTATTCAGTCTCCTGTGATGAACCATAATGGAAAGGATATAAAAAAGAATATGTGTATATGTTCTATGTACAGCAGACATTAACACAGCCTCGTGTGTCAACTATACGTAAACAAAAAATTTTTTTAAACCAGCAAAATAAAAGAAAAAAAATAACAACCAAAAACATACATAGGCAAACAAAAAGTCATTCTCTTTTACACAACCTAAGTGTTATCTGTGGAATAGATATACTATAGTAATGATGTTACATGTGTGTCAGCTCCCTGTGAGTTGACCTTTGCTTCCAGATCATGGGAAATAATGTCAAGCGGGAGCATGTTGCTTATCTTTTTCACTGTACTGTTGGATTTTCTTTAAATGTTTTCAGGTGCACAACTTCTATAGAAAATGTTCAAGTTTTAATGAGATAAAAATGATTTTCAGTCGCAAATGAGGACCAGGAAAGTCAACTTAATTTTTCAGAGTGGACATCGTATGCCCCTCTGAATGCACTGCATTCTTATTTTTTATGCTTGTTCTAGCTTACTCCATTCAGATGGTTTATAAACAGCAGAAGTTTATTGCTCACTGTTCTGGGGGCTAGAAGTCCAAGATCAGGGCAACAGCAAAGTCAGGTTCTGGTGAGTGCCCTCTTGCTAGTTGTAGGCTGCCAGCTTCTCATGACATCCTCACGTGGTGGATGGGGCTTGGAGCTCTGTGAAAAAGTCGTGAAAGTGTCAGTTGCTCAGTTGTGTCCAACTCTTTGCATCCTCATGGACCGTAGCCCGCCAGGCTCCTCTGTCCATGGCCTTCTCCAGGCAAGAATACTGGAGTGGGTCGCCATTTCCTTCTCCAGAGAATCTTCCCAACCCAGGGAATGAACCGGGGTCTCCTGCTTCACAGGTAGGTTCTTCACTGTCTGGGCCACCAGGAAGCCCTTGGGAGCTCTGTGGGGCTTCTTTATTAGGGGCCGGTCCCACTTGTGAGGGCGGGGCCTAATCCCTCCCTAAGGTCGCGCCTCCTCATACCGTCACTTTGGGGGTTATAATTTTAACATATGAATTGGAAGGGGGGATACACACATTGGGCTTCCCAGGTAGTTCAGTGGTAACGAATCCGCCTGTCAATGCAGGAAACCTGGGTTCCATCCCTGGGTTGGGGAGGTCCCCTGGAGAGGAAAATGGCAGCCCACTCCAGTATTCTTGCCTGAGAAACCCCGTGGACAGCGGAGCCTTACAGGGTGTATAGTCCATGGGCTTGCAAAGAGTCGGACATGACTGAGCGTGCACACACACTTTCAGACTGTAATCTACCTAGTTGAAATAATTCAGGAGAAAAGGCAACATGTCATTGTACCACTCAGACTCTATTCATATACTCCATTTCTCAGTTATGGGTTTGGCACAGGTTTAAGACAAACCTCCCAGAGTCCTTGGAATTTGGTGTTAACTGTTTCTGGAGCAGTTTTATGAAAAATAGAGCTCCGTTTTCCACTTTGGGTTTTAAATAATTCATTGATACTCATCCTTGAAAATATCTCCAGAATCTGTGCTACCATTCATGAAAGTTTTATCACCACCATCTCGTGAGAGCTCATTTGTTAACTGGGAAGGAGTGATAAGCCACACTTCCTCCAAAGGCAGGAGGTACCGTTGTCACTGGACCCTGGTCTTCTACTTGCAAGCATTTGCTCTTAGCTACTCCTGAGAAGGCCACTGGTGACAGAGATACCTGTGAAGCCAACTATCCTTGTTAAAATGTCAGTCCAGCCCACTGTTAAGGTAGCGGTCGTTTAAAAATAAATTAATAAATAAAAACATGGCTGGTATCTCTGAACACAATCAAAGGACAATATAAAAGTCATGTGTGCACACACATGTATGGTTTTGACTCCTTCCTAAAAAGAACCACTTAGGGAATTCCTGGCAGTCCTGTGGTTAGGACTCCATGCTTTCAATGCTAAGGGCACAGGTTCAGTCCCTGATCAGGGAACTAAGATCTTGCAAGCCACGAAATGTGGCCAAAAATAAAAATAGCCACTTAAAAAAATGGAAATTGAAGTTCCAATTTTCAAGTGGAAATTGAAGCAGTTGAAAATTAAATCCCAAGCATTTATATCCCATCCTTTGAGCTTCTGCTTTGACTCAGCCTTGCAGATGTTTCATGGGCCCCAGACCTATCACCACTCCTCTGTTCCTGGGACATCAGCAGGAAAAGCTCAGAGGAGCCCTTGTGAATTCACAGGATTGAGGAGGCAGCAAGAAGAATTTCTCTACCAAATTTGGCCATTTCCACAGAAACCACTCTGTGGCCTCTCAATAAAATACCCTTGTGGTCAGTGTTAAATGAGGTCCTCCCAAGATCAGCAAAATGTTTGTCTGATCATCCAGTGTTGCCCAGAGGAGTGAGGGTCATCACCTTTCTACCATCTACCTAAATTCTAGCAAGGAAACATGTTAACATTTCCTCCCAGTGAAAGCTTGGAAAGGGGAGGCGCAGAAACCAGGTTAATCTAAACTGTAGTTGGAGAAGGTGTACCACATTATGTAACCTTAGAAACCCAAGCAGGAAGGAGATTGCAGATTTTTACAGGTTCAGTGATGGATGACACCAGACTGCTGTGAACTCTTATGTGGTATAACCTGCTGGTGGCGCGTGGCGCTCATAGTCCTCTAGTCTCTACTTTTGCAAATGTTTGAAGTTTTGCAGGATGGAAAGTTTAAAATACTATATAAAACTAAAAACCAGATAGTGAGCTCTCTGCTGACTAGAGAAAAACCTAAAGAGAAACAGATGAGGCCTCCTCTGGTTCTCCTGGGTGAAACAGAGCTCACTTCTTTTTTCCATCTCTTGTTCTCATGGTGTTACTTCTTAGACCAACCTGTGACATGTACGTGTGAGTGTGTATTTGTGTCTATGTCTGCGTACATGCCTACTCATTTAGCACCTACCTCCCCTGTTATTATACAGTCTGCAAGAACTATGTTTGTTCTGTACATCACTGTTGCAAGGGAGCCTTAAACAGAGTTCCAAAGATAGATGTTGCATGAATGAATGAATAAAATGAATGCATGACAAGTAAATACTGGTTCATCTTTTTCTTCTTTTTTGTTTTCTTTTAGTTGCAGAATTAAGAAAAATCTTTGAACCAAAGAGGAAAGAATTTTTAGAAATGAAAAGGTAAGATGTTCATTGTACCTAATGAAGAAGTAGAAGAGTTTGCGGAGCAGTAGCCAGTGTTTCCTTAGAACTGATGCCCCTGACTCACTCTGCCTCTGTTGGTGTCTCGCACAGAAAGGAAAGAATTGCCCGGCGCTTAGAAGGAATTGAAACCGACGCGCAGCCCATCCTCTTGCAGAGCTGCACGGGCTTGGTGACTCATGGCCTGCTGGAGGAGGACACACCCAGATACATGCGTGCCTCAGACCCGGCCAGCCCGCACATCGGTGAGCTTACGGCCGGTGGGCCTCTTGTCAACCTTTCTTTTTTTGTTTTTAATTTTTAACTTTATTTTTGGCTGTGCTGGGTCTATGTGGCTTTGCGGGTTCTCTCTAATTGTGGTGATCAGGGGCCACTCTAGTTTCGGTGCACAGGCTTCTCTTTGCAGTGGCTTCTGCTGTTGTGACGCGCAGGCTCTAGGTGTGCGGGCTCAGTAGTTGTGGCACATGGGCTTAGTTGCCCCACAGCATGTGGAATCTTAGTCGCTGGACCAGGGATCAAACCCATGTCCCCTGTATTGGCAGGCTGGTTCTCAACCACTGGACCACCAGCAATTTCCTATCATCAGCGTTTTCCATCCAGCACCCCTGGAAAAGGAGACATTGCAACAAGTGAACTGTGCAGATTGTAATGCTTTTTAAGATATGTCTTTGTTAAAACCGGCAGCAATACCCATGTCAGCTCCACCATGCCTCCCAGCTGTGGTCCCCTGGTGTCACAACAAGAAAGGACCCCACTGTTGAGTAACTGATGACCAATCATTTCTCCCCCACCCCAGCCTGGGCCCCACCAGGGGCAGGTACTGGCTCTTTCTCTCCATCTCCTCAGGACCCCAGCTGTCAGAGATCCTCAGGTTTGTTTGGGAAAGGGCTGAATAAGACAGGCATCTCTTATATATAATAGGTTTAAACAGAATGTCCTGATGCCCAGCACAGGGCTGAGCTACTCGCAGCAGGGAACTTGACGGGCAAAGCTGGACCTCAGATGCTTAGGGGTCTCACTCTGTGTTTATGCACCAAATATCCTCTTTAAATTATTTGAATAGGTGTAATTTAAAATGCATTGTATATTTATTTCTAGTTAAATAACATGTCAAACATGACTTAGTTTTTCTGTGGTTTCTCAGATGTCGATATGAGCATCAGATATCCCACGTGATCTTAGGAGAGGATGGCATATACGGGGCTGCTCTTCCTGTCTGCATCCCAGGTTCTGCTGCTCCGTGCTACTGCTTTTAATAGCCATTATCTTCTAGTTTCTTCTTCAGAGGGAGTTGCTAGTCTCCCTTCATAATGTGATCAGTTTGCTTGCCTCTACAGTTTCTGGTTTTCTATGGTCAGAAAACTAGAGAACTAAGATTTTTTTTTTTTCTCATCACACACGTGAAGAATCAAGAATAGCCAGAGTACCAAAATATATGGCCATAAATAAATCCTATTGTATATAAAATGTATCTTATGATCATGTAAGCATCATGTTAGTCAGGAAGCATTATCTAACAAACTTGTCTTGGGAAAAATGGGATGGCAGTGGGGAGAGACAATGTCCCATCTCACTTCCTACTCAACACAAAAATAAGATTCAGTGACTCATCATTAATTATAAGAGAAGAATTAAAAATATGGAAACAAAAATGAATATTTAGGGCCAGTTGAATGGAAATGGACTTTCAAAACACAGAAATAGTGGTAGAAATCACCAATGACCAGGTCAATTGATTTGACTACATAATGAACATCTGTGCTTCAAAGACAGTCTTCAACAGACTTCACAAAAAGTTAAGTTTGGAAATATTCATGAAAAATATAAAGAGCTATATAATTTTACATAAATTGATTAAAATGACACTATGAATCAAAAGAATATAGAGCAACAAGCTTGACCAGATATTCTAGAAGAGAAAAAGATAATGAAATGGCTACTAAACAATTGAAAAATGCATGCATCCTCTTTTTCCTGGTAATCTAGGGCAATTTTTAATTTTTTGGAGAAACGACATCATGACAAATCTTTTTAGAAATATGGAAGTATTTATATAAATCCAAAATAGAGGTGTAAAATGAAGTACAACAGATACAGATAGATAATAAATTATATGATTATTTGATATTCTCATTTATAGTGTTATATGTTACAAGTATGCTTTCTTTTATGTATTTTTTATGAAATATAGCTGATTTACAGTGTTGAGGTAATTTCCGCTATACAGCAAAGTGATTCAGTTATACATATATACACATTCTTTTTCATATTTTCAAAGGTGATTTTTTTTTTTTAATTAGCAGTGTTTGTGAGAGAACATAAATTTCAGGTTTCATTGTAAGTTGATGCAAACTTTATAGAAATTAATTTGTCAATCTAGCAAGTATCTTAAAATGAGGTACCTACTGATAAAGCAATTCTACTTTGATGCAACTATTTTTTGTAATTGTAATCAGAAAATAAAATGGATTAAAAGTTAGAATCAACTTAAATGCCTAGAAATATGAGACTGCTTAAATTGATTCTAGGGTGCCTGTTGGATAGAATATGATAAAACCTTAAAAAATATCTTCAAAATAAGATTTGCAAGCAGGGAAATGCTTTATGTAGAACATTAAGTTTATATAAAATATGAGTTATATAGGAAAAAATCACTAAGACTAGAAAGAGTACATAGAAAAGTTTAGCAAATTATGCATTTATTTATTACTGATGATTATAGATCAGTGATTATTGGTGACTTGGGGGCTAACTTTCCTGTGCTTTCATTGTAGACCTTTTCTACATCACACATGCATAGTATAGTTGGAAAAAAACACTTCTGTTAACTAAGAACACCACTGCTACCTGGCGGATATTGACATGGCCTGTTATTATTATGGTTACTATCAGAAACCACAATCTGTCACTTGTCAAATTACAGCAGTTCAAATATCTGTTATCCTTTCTAGAGGACTCTGAACACATCCTCTGGCCTCACACATGAAATAGTAAACTCAAAAGCAGAAAAGTACATGAATAAGGGGAAATGACTGAGCAGCAGTGAAGGCTGCCAAGACTGAGCTTTAAGCCGAGGCCATGCCTGACATGGCTTGTGCGGCACAGAGCATCTCAGCCCTTAATGTATTTCCCTGCAGACCTCAGACTTCTTCAGCCTCCCAGGTAAATCATTGTAGGCAGCCCCAAGGAGGTGAGAAACTTGTTATTCACAGCCTGGCTGCTCAGTGTGTTGTGTACAGAACAGAGTAGAATAAATGCATGTCTTTGATGGAATACTGTGTATATGATCTTCTTGTAGGTCGATCAAATGAAGAAGAAGAAACTTCAGATTCTTCACTAGAAAAGCAGACTCGATCCAAACAGTGCACAGAAACCTCAGGCATCCATGCTGACTCCCCCTACAGTTCAGGCATCATGGACACCCAGAACCTCGAGTCCAAAGCCGAAAGAATCGCCAGGTACAAAGCAGAGAGAAGACGGCAGCTGGCAGAAAAGTATGGGCTCACCCTGGACCCGGAAGCAGACTCTGAAACTCCATCTCGATACAGCAGGTCCAGAAAGGACCCCGAGGCTGCAGAGAAAAGAGGGGGAAGAAGCGAGCGATCAGTCGAGTCCAGCAGAGACTCCGGCTCGTCCTACTCCAGGACTGAGCTCTCGGGGCTCAGGACCTGCGTGGCTGAATCCAAGGACTATGGCCTGCACCGGAGCGACGGTGTTTCCGACACAGAGGTGCTGCTCAACGCAGAAAACCAAAGACGCGGTCAAGAGCCCAGTGCCACCGGGCTGGCCCGAGACCTGCCCCCTGCAGGGGAGGTCTCCTCTTCCTTCTCGTTCTCCGGGCGAGACTCTGCCCTCGGTGAAGTGCCAAGGTCCCCAAAGCCAGTGCACAGCCTGCCCAGTCCATCACCTGGGCAGCCGGCCTCCCCAAGCCACTCCACCAGTGACCTGCCACTCCCTGCAGAGGCTCGAGCCAGGTGAGTGTTGACCCACCATCACCTACATCCCCTCTGCCGATCTGGGGTCCTCAGCGCTCTGCAAAGTTCTGGGCTAACTACAGAAATAATGATATTGATGATTTTTTTTCATTTTCACAATGTCAACGCAGGTTCTACCAAAGCAGGAAGCTTCCCAGTCTTAAAGTTATCAGTTTAGTTCTTGGTATGTTCTTTTTTAAAAGAAGAAACTGAGCAGGTGTCATGGCGACACATTTTCAAGATCTTTCTTCCATTTCTCACCTGCCTTTAACAAGTGTCTTTTCCTTCGTTTTCCTGTGATCAGACCCAAGACTTTGGAGCCATTGTTTCTGTTGCTGTCATTTAAAATCACAAAGTGGAAGGACACCAGTAACCAATTTCCACTGGGTCTCAGTTTACGTTATGTGAAGTATGCCCAATATACACTGAATATGACTATAACATATGTTACATCAGTATATCAGCATGCTAAGGATACTGCTGTGTATCAAAGCACCTCATTGAAAAGATCCACCAGTAGGAGAAATTGCTGTGTCACGGAGTCAACGAATGGAAAATCAGAAAGTCAGATTCCCGGAGAGGATATATGTTTCTTTCTCAATTAAATATCTAAGTTTAAATTTGAGTTCAGTTTAGATATTTCAGTCTAAAACGTGTGCTGAACAATTAGAATGCAATTTACATAAATCTCCTACTTCATGGTTTAGGCTAATTGTCTAGGCAGACTCCTAAATGTATTTTTTCAGTTCAAATAAACATTAGCTTTACAGGTGAGTTGAGGGGGATAAGAACCTGAGGTCAGGCAAATTTATTCTAGAAAAAAAAAAGAAAAGAAAACATGATGGAAAATACTGCTGTTTATTCCACGTTGGGACAAAGTAAATATGGCCATCTTCACACGGCAGTTTTACATCTAAAACAGACTATTTCAGTTATTGAAGTGTATTGACTCCGAGACTGGCTGACCATCTAGACTAGAATATTTAGAGATGTTAGCTTCTAAGAGAATTCAATAGTACGGATACTGATTGTATTTTGAGGGCCTTTGTTCATCCTTCAGACTTAACTGCTCAAAATTTAGGGACTTATTGTCTCGTATTTTGAAACATATGTTATACTCATATTCTTTTGTTTTGGGAAATTTGCATTTCATAGTAAAAACAGTGTTCTTGGTTTAGTTATACTCTGTCAAAGCAAACTCTTAGTGAGCTATGTGAGCAGGACAAAGGAACCTAAACAAATTAGAAAGTTGGAGTTGTGTGGGTTACATGGTTTAAAAAATAACAAGGAATCCAATTTTTGATTGCCATATCATGAAAACCGTTTATCATCACGGTGTTTGGGTTAATCATCTACATCACATATCTTCAGTTCTCAACAAGATTTTTTAAGCCGTTATAATATTAAAAACCATGCAGCATATTCCAGGTAAAATGATAGGATATGTAATCGTTCTGTGTGAGTTAAAATCTCAATATTCAAAAATATAGATCACTTAAACTCTTAAGAGCCCACTTCCTTCTAGGTTTTGTTGTTTTTTTAAATTTTTGGCCGCGCTAGGTCTTCACTGCTGTGTGGGATTTCTCTAGTTGCAGAGAGTGGAGGCTACTCTTCAGGTGAGGTGCCCAGGCTTCTCAGAGCAGAGCAGAGTAGGGCACGCAGGCTCAGCAGCTGTGGTGCGCAGGCTCCAGACCCTACAGCACATGGAATCTTCCTGGACCAGGGATCAAACCTATGTCCCTGTAATGGCAGGCGAGTCTTAACTACTAGACCACCAGGGGTGTCCCCTCCTGGTTATTTGACGAGGCATGTTACCTGGGAGTGTTCAGACACCTAGCCTCTGCTTGACAGTGCCTTTCTTTCACAGAAGAAAGGCTTAAAAGAATGAAGGCATTGTAAAGGAGTTTGCAAGGAACCACATGTCTTATTTTTTGAAGCCACTCAAGACATACAAATTTGCCAGCCAAGAAACACAAAGCATTTCGTATAGAGAGAGAAAAGACCAGAGATGTGTTTACATTAAAAAGCAAGGGAAGTAATGTGTGACAGGTATGATGTTAAAATAGCATCGGTATTTAGTCTGCAGTGACTCCCTTTGTTCAGCTTTTAAAGATGAATTTAAGTGGATTAACATTCCGCTGGTAGTCTTTTCTCTAGAGCCAGGAAATTCAGGTGTCAGGGAGTCATTGTCGTCTGACTTCCATTTGGGGAGAAGAGAGACAAAAAATACTTTGTGAATTAAAACAAGAAAGAACTCTTGGTGACCCAGTAACTGTAAGTGAAAACAAGATGGTATCTGACCTGGAAATATGTGACAGAGAAGTTTAGAAGATTAAGAAATGACCAGAAAAATATCTACAAATGGCAAAACAATTGAATAGCATACTGGATTTGTCACTGAAATGGAATCTTTTTCTTACTGTTATGCTTTACTCTTTCATCCCTGTAAATCTCTGAATTAGGCAGTTTGGGGATTATTTATCTCTGAATTGTCACTCCTGTTCCATCATTTCATTTTGTGCTCACTAGGAAGAGGCTGTTGTTTATTTCATTAATTAAATAGGAATATATCACTGATGAAAATAACACCCAAAGACTTCACACAGTGTCCTAAAAATTCAAATGTGAGCCAGATATTCAATGTATAGTTTTTTATATGTTCTCATATATGCCAATGCAAATATATGTACAAACAGAATAATCATTAGTTCTTGTACTATACTGTTTTTAAGCATTATAAGGTTAGTAACAGTTTTTAGGGCAATGTTTAGCCAAGTGATAAGTTTATTTTAATAGCTCAGTTGGTAAAGAATCCACCTGCAATGCAGGAGACTCCAGTTTGATTCCTGGGTCTGGAAGATCCCCTGGAGAAGGAATAGGCTTCCCACTCCAGTATTCTTGGGTTTCCTTTGTGGCTCAGCTGATAAAGAATCTGCCTGTAATGCAGGAGACCTGGGTTTGATCCCTGGGTTGAAAAGATCCCCTGGAGAAGGGAAAGGCTACCCACTCTGATATTCTGGCCTAGAGAATTCCATGGACTGTACAGTCCATGGGGTCTCAAAGAGTCGGACACGACTGAGCAACTTTCAGTTTGACAGTGATTCATTTATATGATAGAGAAGATATATATGTATGTGTGTTATATATATGTGTGTATGTATGATTGTAACAAAATCTTTAATTCAGAAATCCTGTTGTCCAGGAGTTCAGATGAAAATATTGTTCTATAACAAACTACAAACATACATAGTGACAGCAGATACATTATATTTTTACATATTTATCTCTATATATTCTTATAGTGGTAATAGAGAATAAGTCACATGCTAACCACCATTCCCTCATCCTACCAAATCCTGTAAATTTGGAATTTCAGGAATTGTGTTTTCCAAGTAGATGGTGTAACTGAAATGAACCATTCTTTGTTAATTTGGCCACTGTGAATTTTAGAATAAAATAAGGGATTGGGAGCCTCTGTATTATTCAAAAATTTTAAGTCTGAGCTCCATTAGAAATCTTAAATCCAAAGCTCTTGTCAATCTGCTGTTTGGTGCATCTCTTAATGTCACAAACAATAAAGTGTACCATCTGGATTAATTTTGTGACTGCAGAAACCCCGCCCCAAGTCCCACACCTGCCCTCCTCCTGGGCATGTATATTTCCCTACAGGAACTGGAAAGAAGAGAAGCACACCTAATTTTCTAGTGGTGATCTGCTCTAGAGAACCCCTGGGGTTTTATTATTATTATTATTATTATTATTACTCTCCTGGGATCCCCACCACTCCTTTTCCCACTTAGCGAACTATCATTCATGGCCAGGAAAATGATGGTGGGGGTTTCATGCAGCACTGGCGCTGACCTTTGATCGGGAGAGGTCGCCAGTGGTGAATGATGGTTTGAAAGGGGCTTCCTCAGAGCTGTGCCTGGCCGCGCAGTAGACCAGGGCCCCCTCCAGAATGAACCATTTCTGCAACACTGTGACATGCAGACTCTGGCCATCCAGGAAGGAAGTGGGATTATGATGCAGTCTTGCCCTTTCTTTTTTCTTTTTCTGTTTTAATTCAAAACTGTTTTGTTTTGGGAATTCCCTGATGGTTCAATGGTTAGGATTCTGTTCTTTTACTGCCAGGAGCCGGGGTTCAATCCCTGGTCAGGGAACTAACAGCCCATACGCCGTGTGCTGCAGTCAAAATAAACAAACAAAAAGTTTGGTTTTGTTTTAAATTTTATTGAAGCATAGTTAATTTCTGCTGTACACTAAAGTCTTTTTCATGTTCTTTTCCGTTATGGTTTTTCAAGAATATTGACTAGTTCCCTGTGCTATACTGTAGGACCTTGATGTTTATCCATTCTGTATATAATCATCTGCATCTGCTAATCCCAAACTCCCAATCCGTCTCTCCCCAACCTTTCCCCCTTGACAACCACAAGTGTGTTCTCTATGTCTGTGAGTCTCTTCCTGTTTCATAGATACGTTTATTTGTGTCGTATTTTAGATTCTACATTTAAGTGGTACCTTATGGTATTTGTCTTTATGATGTACGTTACTTAGTATTATAATCTCTCTAGGTCCATCCATGTTGCTGCAAGTGGTGATATTTCATTCTTTTTTATGGTTGAGGAATATTCCATTGTGTATGTACACATCACATCCTCTTTATCCATCATCTGTTGATGGACACTTAGGCTGTTTCCATATCTTGACTATAGTGAATAGTGCTGCTATGAACATTAGGGTGCACATAGCTTCTCAAGTTAAGAGTTTTTATCCTTTATTTCTGATCGTTTTTGTGCATCTCCCAGTGAGAGGTTTGCATCTAAAAATCGTCTCCAGAGCCTGGAGCTCATTGTTTTAGTTAATTGGAGAGATGCTGAGTGAGGCAACTGCCTCTTGGCCATTGGCATTCCTGGGTCAGCTTCTGTCTCTGCCATGGCAGGAAATTTCCTAACACAGTGTCTACATTGGGGCAGAATGTCGTGGGAACAGAGATCTCTGAG